GGAGAAGATCTCAGCTGAGAGACATGAGCACTGTTAGGTGCTATTACTGTGAAAAGTTGGGTCACACGAAGAACGGTTGTCCAGAACTCAAGGAGGACTTGCAGATCCTAAAGGAGAAGAAGGACAAATCGAAGGAAGCTTCTTTCGCAAATGTGATCACTTATGAAGATGATCTCCTCTGAAGATAAGAGTACTGCTGGACAGAAGATTCTGCAGGATGGGAGTATCGCTGCAGAAATCGCAAATGATGTAGGACTTTGAATTAAGGGGAGATTTGTTGAGTGTTACTTCAAAGTCCCACATCGGTGGGATAGGAAAATTGAGGAGGGATTGGAGCCTATAAATAAAGAGGAGATATAGGCTTCCATTACACAACACAATCCTTCAATCTATATAATTGTGTATTAGATTTTAGGTTGTGAGTGTCAAATATTGAAGAGGGTTTGTAATTTTTCCGTGCAAAAATTACTAGTGAGATTTTATCTCAGAGGGGGTCGTAGAGTAGGTCTTGAGGTGCCGAACCACGTTAAAAATTGTGTGCTCCTTTGTTTTTCCTTTTCTTTCCATTTGTTTGGAGTGGGGGCCTAACAAATGGGATTAGATATCATAACAAGACACTTAAACACACAATTAAGGAAACTTCTTGAAAAAGATTAAGCTATGCCTGGCACCATGTTTAGTTTACAACCGGAACTCACTACTTGAGGTTTCTTCACCAGCTTCGTGCCAGTTTTACCCATATCCGACACCAGTTTTGTGTTATTTGCCTCAAGAAGTTCATTTTTGGGGTCGTTTTTTTGGCTGTTTCATAGGCTTAGAGCAAAGCTCCTATCTCAATTTAAAATGCTAAAATCCTTTCAAATTCATTGAAAACTTTCAAGAAAATTCTCACTTTAGTACAAATAAAGAAGATAGAAACTCATGGTGCTTCACGTACTGCTTCCTACACCCATACGAAAAAAATATGTTTTCCTTTTAAGTAAACGATGCAACCTTCCTGCCAAGAGTCTCGTACATGATAAATTATTAGGTCTTATTAACAACAAAGGCATTAAAACATACTCCATTAAAGACAGAAATGCTGAAATTAAATGAATATGTAGAAAGGCCAGAAGCTGATCAACAATAGGAGTGCATGCTACTCATCCTAAAAGAGAAACGAAAATGGAATGGCACTTTCAAATTCAATCATAATACAGCTTAAGAAATATTATCCCAAAAACTCCCCTCATGCCATGATATGCCACCATCAGTCAATCACCTGTTTGTCAAACAACAACAAACCCAACTGCATTGGGGTTTTTTTTCGGGGGGGTTAAATCAGAAACTCTCACACTAACAAAGGGAAATCAGACTACGACAGAAATGAGCATCATCGCGGCTCATGGGTTCATGTCGATGCTTTCTTAATATTAAGGAATGTCCACATGATATGTCTGAAGAAGTTGAAAATCAAATCAAACTAGAAGAAGAAGAAAGCATTATGTATACAAAGGACATGGTTTTGGACCAATAAGTCCCAAAACAGTGATGTTAAAGAACTAAGTTAATTTCTCTGAGATTCTCCTTCCTTTCAATTACTCCACTATTTATACTCTAGCAATCATCAACGAGCTCCCTTGGTGACATTAAGATCGATATGATTGGCAAAATTGGGAGTGCCCTCGGCTTCCAAGAATCTACTCAAATAGGTATCATCCAAATGTTGCTGAAAACAATCAACAAAATAAAAAAAATCAAATAATAATTAACTGTTGGTTCAAAGTTCAAACTTCAGGTAAACAGCTTACAGAAAGGCAATCTATGTACTTCTGCCATTCAGAAACACACTCCTCTTTATCCCACTGGCCCTTCAAGAACTTCTCAGAATACCACCTATACAAAACAATACCAGCCCTTAATTTCGGCACAACTTAGGGTTTAAGGTTTAGGGTTCAGGGAAAACGCCAGAATTGACTTCTTAGAAGCTCGGCTTTCAATGAACAAGTACATGAAGATTGAGGTGGCTAACAATTTAAAAATTAAACTAATACAAAGCAAAATTCGTGTTTTTTCCCGGGGGATTGGGAACCAAAACATCAAAAAGGGGGGAAACAAATGGATTCAGATCGAGTGAAATAAGTTTAAAGGGTAAACTGTAAAATAACTTGTTCTCAATATACTCCCACTCCGTATTAGGGAGTATTTCTAACGTAAAATTAAAAATTAAAATTTATATATTTAAAAATTATATCAAAAGTTCTACAAAATAAGTGGTAATAAGACTATATAATTTTATCAAATACCTAATGAAAATAGGTAAAGAAAGTAATTAAAATTTGACCATGTGAAAAGTAACTGGGAAAAATATTTTAGGACGGAGAGAGTATAAACTAAATTCATGTGATTCTAGTTAGAGTTACAAGTTTGATCTGAATTTCTTTCTAATCTAATCTAATCTGATTTAATTTCAATAAGAATAAATTCAAGAAAACAAACTAAAATTTTATTATTTCAATCTTTAACGCTATACTTATAGTTTCTAGTGTTATTTTAGCTTTATACTTCGTATTTATTTCATCTTTTAAAAAAAAATTTTACATTTTCTTTTATCTTTGTTCAAAAAAACTTTCTTTTATAATGGAAAATAGTGTGATTCAAACAATCACACCCATATATATATCAAACTAATAATCAATCTTGAACCACTTTTGTATACTTTTTTACGTAGCTCACTCTCTTAATTATATTAATAATACTTAGGCTACATACGTATATTTTCACTCACATCCTTTCGATATTTCATTTGTTATGTTTTAATAATTTGTTCAAAAACTAAGCACATTGTATCTCACTCGATCAATAATGGTCAGTCATATGACTCTTGTAGCAAATTAAAGCACGCCACCTCGAAAACATATTTATGAGTCATCAAAATGTTGTTACTAAGTTTGCTCATCTTAAAGATGGCCAAAATTCTTCCGCATAATACTACTAAGTATGGGAATCACCCAAGCTCTACATTTAGTCAATTCATCAATGGGGGACCTACAATTGGAAGTTGAGGGTTGAAGTGGGTAAGTTCATCAGAAGGATCAGTGGGGGGCCTACAATGGTCCAAGTGGGGTTAAGTGCACCCACTAATTTTTTTTCTTCCAATGATAGCTACAGTACCACATTCATGCACTCTTATTTTACACTCCTAGAGTTCTTAGTAGGAATTGTAAAGTGTATTATGGTGGGTTCTGTTGAATATTACAGCGGGGAAAATAAAAAAATAAAAATAAAATAATCCGAACTTATAAAACGTTCGGATTTTACAAGAAAAATAAAAGAAAATAAAAACTTGGAGTCTTCGGGAGCTCGAATGGACTTTTCTTCGGATGGAGAACAATGGGTTGCCAGAGATGTTTCTAGAACCGCAGGTAAGGAAAGGGAGTCGCCAAAGCTTTCCTTAAGGTAGTATTGCCCGCCTCCCGCACTGGCAAACGTGGGCAATCTCCTCCCAGGATAAAACCGCAACGTGCTGAGTCTAGAGCGGTAGAACAGAGCACCGGCGAACGAGAATGACGAAGAGCTACCGCCGAAGAAGATGATCGGAGTTGGGAAGTTGTCGGAGCCTTTAGAACGCGGGCGCACCCCGCCCCGCCCCGACGCGCGCGCATACCGGGCCGGACGGCGGCGGCGGCGGGCGCGCGAGGAGTCCTCTTCTTGTTCCTTTCATAAGCTCAATTCAATGCCTAAGCTTAAATATGAGAATACGAAAGGTTCAGAAACCGGTGTGGGACAAAGACATTTACTCTACCTTAGTATTCAACTTTGAGAATTAATTTCTCATTCACCCGAGCACCGTTTATGACGTGTCATATGTCAAGACGTTCGTCTTACTTACGAGATTAATTGTCCATAATTATTTTGGAAAATAATTTTGTGGACCCTACCGAATTTATGTCCGAAAATGTCCAATTTACTTTAAAATTTCCAACAATCCCTGGTTCACACTGTTAGCCACATATACTACATTTCTGAGTATCATAGAGTATCTACTTCTTTTTTGCTCAAGGTATTGTCTTAGTTTTCAATAGAGTAGCTTTTGTTTATTTAGGTGTTTTGATTGATTATTTGATACTCCATAAAATAAAGTTTTCTCGTTACTTCTTGTTTTTTAGAACTTTTGACTTAATTTTTTAATAACTTTTGTTTTTAATTTCTATACCAATCTTCAAAAAATGAATTTTAAAAAATTGAAATTTTGTTTCATTTTACATAAAATGTAAAATATTTTGGAACGAAAAGAGTAGATATTATGTATCCAACATATAAAAAATGAACCCACTCTCACAAAACTCTAGGTTATAAGGATGGCTTCAAATTTTTTGTATCACAATTCTCAAATTGTGCAAAGTAGTTTGGTCATCACATCTGTTTCCTCATTTATGCTTTCATAAGACACAAAGGAATAAAGAAAACAAACTAACTAAAACAAGTTTAAAGTATAGATGAGAGTTCAAGAATAAAAAAACTCTGAATTGCCTCCCATCTAGCGTTAGTTTCAGTGGTGTACTCGACGATACCTAATACAGAGTAACATTTTAAAAGAAAATTTTTATTGTGGAGCACTCCTAAGTATCCAAGACTTTGGTTCAAAAAAAAATCCAAGACTTTTCTATTGATCTAATTATCCAAATAGTATACTCTTATTTTTTTCTCTTTATCTTGTCCTTATTTTCTTTCCTTTTTATTTTGTCAATTTGCATTTTTATCTTTTATATATTTGGCTAAATTTATTTTTAGCTTAATTTATTTCAAAAGTGACTTAAATTTTTTTACACAAAATATGCATATTAAAACTAAATTAAACATTCTACAATAACAAAAAAACTAATAAAAAATAATTAAAATTTGATTTAAATAACTGATGGTAAATTATTTTGTACACTGAAATCCGTGATCATGTTGAAATGTGTGATCGTTTCCCAGAATCCCACTTATCCCAGGGCACTAGCCAAGAATGTCTATATATTTGAAGCCACAAACCCGACGACGCTAATCTGAATTCTTCATATACTGTTAATCTGAGCCCGAGACGAAATCTGATAATGGCGCAGAAGCAATCCAAGTACGATCAGTTCAAGGGCCAGCCGCGCCTCCCTCAATTCGCGGTCCCTAAGCGCTACGACATTCGCCTGAAGCCGGAACTGATCGCCTGTAAGTTTGCCGGCGCCGTTGATATCTCCGTGCAGGTCATCGCAGACACCAAGTTTCTGGTTCTTAATGCCGCCGAGCTCACCCTTGATCCCAAGGCCGTCGTCTTCAAAGCCCAAAACCAGGTACGGATCCGCCGTTTGAACAGATTATCAAAAAGATCATTTTTTGCTTGAATGGAACTCAATGCACTTGTTGTGTTCGGCGAATTGAGTGAAATTTGACTCCAAATATATTGCTTTTTTTTAATAAATAAATCCTTTTCTTCGTGTGTTAATAGGTGTTGGAGGCAGTGGAGGTGGAGTTTCTGGCGGAGGATGAGATTTTGGTGCTGGAGTTTGGGGAGACTTTGTCTAGGGGGTTGGGAGTTTTGAGCATTGCGTCCTTCGAAGGAACCTTAAATGACAGGATGAAAGGGTTTTACAGAAGGTACCATCTGAATCCTATGACTTTCCTTTTTGGGGTGATAAATTAATGTGTGATTGTGCATTGTGATAGGCAATTCTTCCGTTTATCGTTCTCTTTTTTCAAATTTTCTATCTTGTTTTTCATCCTAACTCTACTGGAGTTTATACAGTACTTATCTGCACAATGGGGAGAGTAAGAATATGGCTGTTACACAATTTGAGCCAGCTGATGCAAGGAGATGCTTTCCTTGTTGGGATGAACCATCTTTTAAGGTATTTTATGTACTTAACTCTATTCTTTTAACCCATAGATCATTTTCGTAGCTACTTTCTAGGTTACATTTGGTCCTCACTCAATCAAGAGGTTACCTTTTTCACATTCGTCCAGTAATGTTTAGGGGCACATTGTTTTGAATGGGCTCTGCATTTGATAGATTTAGCTGTACCCTCTCAGCTGTTGCCATGTTAAGTGTTTTGATAGCTACATTTTATATTATGTTCAGTATTTGCAGAATTGTTTCCTCATAATTATTACGAGTATGTGGTGAATGTTGGGAAAAATTGTCTCGAGCATTGATTTGCTTGTCTTTGTTGAATAAAATTGTGCACGTTTATATGCCCCTAGCAATTGGCACTCACTCTTTCATTCTTTTGTTTTGATGGAGTACTATTTTAAGTTGCCAATATAGTCTGCTGCAGGCAGAATTGTATACTAAAAATAAATTGTAAATTGCTAAATTCAAGATGACAATTGCTATTGATCTATTTTCAGGCCACATTCAAGATGACATTAGAAGTACCATCTGAACTGGTAGCCCTTTCCAACATGCCAGTTATCGAAGAACAATTAAACGGGGATATGAAAATAGTTTATTATCAAGAATCTCCAATCATGTCCACATACTTGGTGGCCATTGTTGTCGGTTTATTTGATTACGTTGAAGATCATACACCAGATGGTAAATAATAAGTTTTAATCCTTTTTCACTAAGTTCCTGTTCCATGATCAATCTGTAGTTTCCTTGAATAAATATCTTAAATTTCTGCAGGAATCCCCGTCAGGGTCTATTGTCAGGTTGGCAAAGCAAATCAAGGGAAGTTTGCTTTAGATGTAGCTGTCAAGACACTGGGAATTTATAAAGAGTAAGTTGAAACTTGAAAGTAAAGGAAAATGGTTTCAGGCCCTGTTGGAAACCTACTGGAGGAATACATGTGAAATTGCTAACATGTTAAATCTCATGCTGTAAATCTGTTTCATGCTTTGTATGGATAAACAACTTTAGTAAGAAATTTGATGGTAGATGAGCTTATTTAAAAGGCGTGGTTGGCCAAGTCTATGATTATGTGACTAGGTAAGATCTAAAAGGGTCGGCCAGATAAGCATGGGTTCATTTTCTAGTGTTTGAAAAAAACCTAAAAAGAGTGTAGGTATGTTTGTCATTAGCTTTACGGAATTACCTTTAAAACTGGGTTTTAAGAGACATAAGTGCTTTACATCACTATAATATAACCCTAAAGGGAGTACAAAAAGAGGTAATGGCCGAGTTCGAGTCCTGGTAACAACTAAGGACACTGAGGGGAGACCCTGCACTACTTGAAGCCTTGCATGTACCAAAGACAAATCTCACTCTTTACTTGTCAGACTAGGATTATAGATTTATAGCTCAATTTACCCTCTCCAAGTGTTGGGCTGGTCCTCATCCTTTTTTGTTGAAATGATTTACAATTGTTGGTGAAGCCCAGTGCCCACTCCTTAAGTTTAACTTAAGGCAACTAATTGAGCTCAAATGGGTAAAAAATATTTTTAAAGGAGAGACAAACACCCTCCATTGTACTTCATGGTTAAGCTCACAGATACACAGTTATGCAGAGTCTAAATATTTAAACTTAATGAATTTACACCAAATAACAAAGAAAGTTTAGAATTATAAATAGGTCTAGCTAACCTATGTTGGCCGAATGGGACAAAAAAAGTGATGCATCATTGAAACTGTGTTTTTTAATTACATTTAAATATCTTCCAGGTATTTTGCAGTGCCATATTCCCTACCTAAACTAGATATGATAGCAATTCCTGACTTTGCTGCTGGGGCCATGGAGAATTATGGCCTTGTTACATATCGAGAAACTGCTTTGCTTTATGATGAAAAGCAGTCTGCAGCTGCTAACAAGCAAAGAGTAATGTTTGATCTGCCAACATTTGTTTTACTACTCCGCACTATATTAATCTGCTAAATGCCAATGGAACTAACAATATTCCCAGCCTTTGCCTATCATATACGTAATAAAACAGCTCATATAATTTTATAGAATTTTAGAAGCCTAATATCTGTTTTGATTGCTTTAGGTTGCAACTGTAGTAGCCCACGAGCTTGCACACCAATGGTTTGGCAATCTTGTGACAATGGAGTGGTGGACTCATCTTTGGCTGAATGAGGGATTTGCAACATGGGTACACTCTTTGATAGTCTAGCAGAATGTATGGTGCTTTGTTTAATTGACTGTAAAATTGTGTCATATTGGTGTTTCTGTTGGTGTATCAGGTGAGCTACTTGGCAGCTGATAGCTTGTTCCCAGAATGGTCTATTTGGACTCAATTTCTCGAAGAAAGCACAGCAGGGCTTCGGCTGGATGGGCTTGCAGAATCGCACCCCATTGAGGTTAGATAAGGTTATTGATATTTTATTCCTATTTTTCTAAAAGATACAAGTATCATAAAGTATTTTTTCTCCAGGTTGATATCAATCATGCAAGCGAAATTGATGAAATTTTTGATGCAATCAGTTATCGAAAGGGTGCTTCTTTGATTCGGATGTTGCAGAGCTATCTTGGTGCTGAATGTTTTCAGGTTGACCATTGGTTCTAACGTGCATCAACTTCAATCTTTGTTTTGAGATATATGCTTCAGATTTTCCAATTCCGTTGTTGATACCAAATGGGCGGTTATGGAATTTTACCAAGTAATTGAAATAAACATATTTTACCTCTCTTTGCTTAAATGGAGTTGGAAATCAGTGTTTGTGTATGGGGTACTACATGATATTAGTCAATAGTAATTTTCAGAATTTTTGGAGTATTTTTTTCTCATTTATATTTAAGATATCAGTCAGTGCTGTTCTCCTATAAACAAATAAACTGAAATGATGAATAGATACCAACTCATTTTAAATGTGATATACTTTTTTTTCATTTGTATTCACAACTCACAAGCAATCATTGTCAATTGTATTGTGAGAACAAATGGATTTTACGTTTTCTGATTTCATAACTTCATGAATCCAGCGTGGACTTGCTTCATACATCAAAAAGTATGCTTGCTCGAATGCAAAGACAGAAGATTTGTGGTCTGTCCTCCAAGAAGAGTCTGGAGAACCAGTGAACAACCTAATGAATTCCTGGACAAAGCAAAAGGGTTATCCAGTTGTCACTGTCAAGATGATTGACCACAAGTTGGAATTTGACCAGGTTTTTCTCTAACTAGTATATACTCCATATAATTTTGTAGAACATCTTCATTGACCACTATACAGCTTATTTGCTTGTTTTGTACGAGTCTTCTGAAATTTTGGTGGCGTATCTTTTTCATTTGATGACAGTCACAATTTTTGTTGAGTGGTACTCATGGAGATGGGCAGTGGATAGTCCCGATAACACTATGTTGTGGCTCTTATGATGCTCGTAAAAGTTTTCTGCTGCAAAAAAAGTCAGACACGATTGATATAAATGACTTGTCGAGCTCACAATCAAAAAGTAATCCATGGATAAAAGTTAACTTGGACCAGACAGGTTTCTATAGAGTGAAATATGACGACAACCTTTCAGCAAGACTTAGATCTGCAATAGAGAACAAGCTATTGTCAACAAATGACAGATATGGTAATTACCATGTAATATCTCTGTTTTTCTTGTTTGATTAAATGATTTGAATGATCGAGTACTTAATGTGCACCTTCTGTTTGAACAGGCATTTTAGATGATTCATTTGCCTTATCCATGGCATGTCATCAACCTTTATCATCATTACTTGCATTGATGTCAGCTTATAGGGAGGAGCTCAACTACACTGTTCTATCTAACCTGATTAGCGTAATCCCTCAGCTTTTTTTAACTACCTATTTTAATTTTTAATTTCAAATTCAAGGAAACCTCCAATTGCCCAACATCTTCTCTCTTAATTGTACAGATAAGTTACAAAGTTGCAAGAATTGTGGCTGATGCTGCTCCTGAATTATTAAGTGACATCAAGCTATTTTTCATCAACCTTTTCCAGTACTCTGCAGAGTATGTTCCTTAAATTATACTCCATCGATCTCCTTTAATCTTACCCATTTAAATTTAGATGGAATTTAAGTGAATGAATTTTTGTGTGAATCAATATCAAACACATGTTCTTTCCTTAAAAAGAACTGATAAGATTATCTAGGGTCTGCCTGAATCGGAAAGACTGGAGTTTAAAAGGGGATATAGTGAGTATGTAACTTCTTCTTGTCAAGAGTGAATGGGCCTAAATAAATAGTAGCGAACATAAAGATTGAGTAAAGCTGGAAAGAACAGAATTATCCTCTAACTATCCTAATCTCTGTTTGCAAAGATTTTTGAAACGTCTCATGTATGATTAACACTAGTATAAAAAGTGGAGTAGCTAAAATTAGGGCCATAGTTTATATCATCCTGGTAATTGGTATGCTTTACCCAATCATGTCTATCAGCATCTCCAAAGCCGTTCTGTGTTTTTTATGGAATTATTACGGAGTATCTAAAACAAAGAATCTTTTAAGGCAACTTTATAAAATAGTTAAAAACTTTTAGGTTTCAACACCATTCTCTAAAAAGCTCTTTTCATTAATGATAAATCATTGCTCAAAGATTTTAAAGAAACTAAGTCCCATATTGCTTCTACATATAAATATAGAGAATTTAATAGAGTCGCTTTGACTTTGCATTTGAAGAAGTCAAATCTCACTCTTTATATTTAAATTTAAAAGTGCCAATTGTACACATAAAAATGATGTTTACTACTCTTTAAATCTGTTCTATAAAGAGCCTATTGAATATGCTCTAATCAGCCTTTCTCTTTATGTTTGAGATTAAAATAACACGTGTCAAGTTGACTTTATCTCCTTGATCTTAAGCAATGTCTTGACTCTTGACTGAATGGTCACACCAGTTGTCCCACCACCAGAAAGTGAACATGGGTTTGTTTGGTTTGGCTTGTTGAATGAATCTGTTTATTTGATCTAAAATCTTCTGCAAGTCTGCCATTTAAAATGTGTCAATTGCCCATGTTCAAAATTTGGAACTCCATTAAACACTTGAAATTATTGTGGTTGTTTATGATAGACATCAAATATTCATAGGGATATCTTTCCATTTTGTTTACAATTTTCATTCTGTTAACAATAATCTAGTTAAAAACTTGTGCTTGTATTTCTACCACAGGAAGCTCGGCTGGGATCCCAAGCAAGGGGAAGGCCACTTAGATGCCATGTTGAGGGGACAACTACTTAATGTATTAGCAGCATTTGGGCATGATGCAACGATAAATGAAGCAAACAGGCGTTTCCTCATATACCTGGATGATAGAAGTACACCTGTTTTAACTCCAGACTTGAGAAAGGTTAAGATGTCTACTCTTAACAAGTGTTCTGTTTAAATTTGGTGATACAAATCTCACACATGCGTCGTCCCTCTCCTTTGTTGTTGGTCATATTATTTGACAGGCTGTATATGTGGCTATAATGCGGAATGCCAGTAAATCAAATAGATCAGCGTTCGAAGCGCTCCTAAGAGTTTACCGAGAGACTGACCTAAGTCAAGAGAAGACTCGCATTTTAGGTAACATTAGTTATTTCTTTGTTATATGGGTGACAAATGGCTGGATTGGATAATTTTTTATTGGTTATAATGGATGGATCATAACAAGCTATTAATGCATTTATAATCAATTATAAAATTGAATCCAAGAACCCACCCATTTTATCCAGACCAAAATTTTCACGAATGGGTATCCAGTCCATCCATTTTCTTATTGCTTTTCATATGCAGAGGTGAGTGAGGAATGCACATATAGTAATAGTGGAAGATTCAATAGATCTGATGGATATAGACGATATTATGTTTTTCTAAGGGATTACAAAAAATAATAAATGTATCACTAACCATCCGTATAGTAGTTATTATTACTATTGCTATTATTATTATTATTATTATTATTATTATTATTATTATTATTGTTGCTGTTGTTATTATTATTTTTGTTATAATTATTATTGTTGTCATTATTGATTTGCTGGAAAGATGGGATAAATCTTGATGGTGGGGAAATGGATTCTTTTGCAACTCCCATTATAAAAAGTATGTAGACTAACTTGGTTTTGGCTCTTAGGTTCATTGGCATCTTCTCGGGACCCTGAACTCATTCTTGAAGTTCTCAACTTTCTGTTGTCATCAGAGGTATTATTCTCAACTTTTGACAGCTACAAAGAAGCATAATGTCTTCTTTTAAGATTTCTTGACGACGAAAATTTCTGGTGTGTTCCCATTCTTATGGTATTTAGGTCCGGAGTCAAGATGCTGTTATTGGACTTGATATTAGTTTTGAAGGACGTGATGTTGCTTGGAGCTGGTTTAAAGTCAGTATATATTAGTCCATTAGTTTATTTATTTTTGTTGGAAGAGGCCAAATATATATTGCTTTGAAATGATCACTGACCTTTTCTGACGCAGGAAAACTGGGATCACATATGCCATATTTATGGTCCTGGATTTCTGGTCACCCGCTTTGTCTCCGCAATTGTATCACCGGTTAGTCACATCTGCCTCCCCAAGTTTCAAGTTTGACCCCACGGATGACAGTCATGTGTGATTTGTTCACTGTACCATTTGTGAACACCCAAAGTTCCCAGACAATTATATCATGTGTGGGTGTGTGTAAATTTACAAATAGTTGTCATCCGTGGTGTCAAACTTGCATTATTCCATCTACCTTCTCCGTCGTTATTTTTTTACTTATTTATTCCATTGGGTGTACATTTGCCATCCCTCACACCACCAAAATCACATTTCGCTTTCCAAAAAAACTGGTTTTTTTACGTCCTTTGCAAGTTAGAGAACACAAATTATTTTCTCACAAAGGTTATTTTCTCATTACATTTAACCAACCATTATAACTTTTAAAATAATCAAAATTTGAATGAACAATGACATATATCATGTCTAGATTCATCTTCAACTTTTGGGAGAGAGGAGGGAGTGTTATTCAACCATCCTCTTATTATAAAACTCTTGCAGTTCTCGTCGTATGAGAAAGCGAAAGAGGTGGAGGAGTTCTTTGCAACTAGGACGAAGCCTTTCATTGTGAGGAGCCTGAAGCAAAGCCTGGAGAGGGTCGACATAAATGCCAAGTGGGTTCAGAGCATTCGGAATGAGAGTCCACTGGCTGAGGCCGTGAAGAAGCTACTACTACTCGCCCGCATGAAGCACTAATAGAGTTATTATTTATAGGGACTAGTTACTATATGAACTCAAATAAGAAGGTATCATTTTGCTACTTTTGTTGCTTGAGATTGTGTTCATTGAGTTAAGTAATCAAGAAGTAAACATCTAGTTTCACAGTACATGCTCCGGAGAAGCTGTCGACATGTTTCATTTAAAAAATATACCGTCTTTTTGTCTCACAAATTGTCTCTGTTCACTGTTACCATAATAACTGTTTGTGCGTGTTTGTGCACATTACATTAGGGGCCAAATAGCGCCCGTACCCCTCCTGGTTTGCAAAACAAGCACCAATACCCCCTCTGTTTTCAAGTCCTTGTGGTTTCAAAATGCTGCACCCGTGCTCACTCTGATCATTTTTCGACCATTTTTCCGGCGGAGAAGGGGGGCATTGGTGCATTTTTTTTTGAACCATAGGAGATATCAGTATGATTTTTATTTCATGCATATTTTTTGTTTTTTTTCCATTTTCTCATTTTTTTTGTTTCATTTATTAATAAAGGTTTTTTTTAAAATTATTTTTATAATGTTTCTTAAAATTTGAAGTTACTTTTGTTAGAAAAAAATTAACATATAATGCATATGTACGTCTCAAATTAACAATTTTTTATTTTTTCTGAAAAAAAGTAAATTTTTTTTTAGAACTTCTAGAAAATGAGGAATAAATTAAAAAACAAAATAACACAAAAATAAAAATAAATATCCTTTTTGGACATATTAGTTCAAAGGATTTTTTTAGGTGTGTCTAATTTTTTTAAGACTTTTTTGCGTATTTTACTTTTTTTATTTCGTTTTTCCATATTTTTAATTTTTTATTCTGGTTTGTTTATAACTTTCCAAAAAATTATTCAAAGTAACAAAAGGTGAAAATGTTTATTAATTTGAGATAGATTTAATGTATGTTAATTTTTTTATTTTTATTTTTATTTTAAACACAAAGAATTTTAAAATTTTTGAAACATCATAAAAAATTGAAAATAAGTTTTTTTAAAAAAATCTAGGAAAAGGAAAAAGAGATAGAAAATATTTTTAAAAAGGGAAGAATAATAAACGAAAATAAGAAATGAGCACGAATTCCCCCTATGGTTTAGAAATTATGCGCCAATGCCCCCTATTCGCCGGAAAATGGCCGGAAAATGATCGAAGGGGGTGTGGGTGCAACGTTTTGAAACTACGGAGATTTTAAAAATAATTTTTAAAAACAGAAGAGGTATTGGTGCCAATTTTTCAAACCACAGGGAGCACGGAAGCTATTTGAAGAACAAGTAATTGGAGAATAGTTCACTTTACATTATGAATTGAAGAACAAGTTCTTTGTCATCAGGCTCATATGCTTAACTTGGAGAAAGTCTAATTAAAATGTCTAATTAGTATTGTTTTTCACATGTTGCCAACTATCCAAAAAATAAATCCTACTTTGGTGGTAGTGACCAAATGGGTCACTCCAACTTATTAGGAACATACTGTTTACCTTAACTTAAAAGTGGACGATAAAAAACATGAATTTAATTACTCCCTTTGTCTTGTAGTATTTGTCTAGTTTTGACTTTTTTTTAATGAAAATTGGTAAGATTTGAATCAAATTTAAATATAAATGAAATTAGATATTGATAAAAAAATAATTTATTAAATTTATTATATAAAATATTTTAAAATATTATTTTATCTAATTAATATACAACATATATTTTATTTAAGTATATGTCAAAGACTGAAAACGGTTGATAGAAAAAAAAGTCAAAACTGGACAAATACTCTGGGACGGAAGTAGTAGTATTTTGTGTAGATTTAATCTAAGGCAAAGGGATGTATGTTAGCATGTTCGCAAAAAATGAATTTAATTAGTAGGACATTATTTTGCATAATGTGATAAGTAATTTGGGACAAAAGGAGTATAATATAGACAAATTGTATTTCGAAAATATAAAAAATGATATTGATATAACTTCTACGGGAGGTCCTTTTCAAATGGGCAAGGCCAATGTATGAGCGGAAGGACATTTGAGGTAGATTTGGGTCAGGCTTGGACGAGTTCGAGCCGGCCTGACCAATAATAGATCTCATGTTTTTTCCAACCTGCCTACTTAACAAAAAGTTATGACTAAGATTGGTCCAATTTTGCTCAAATCATAACAATGAATCATATTAACATATATATAAAATTTTAAAAATAGGATAAATAAAAAGAAGGAAAATAATTTATGAGCTCTTGTAAAAAAATGAATGAAATGTGCTAGAATAATTTTTCACAACTCATAATTTATTATACGAGCGTTGTTAAATCACTGCATATTTAGTTAAATTCACCATGTTTACGAGAATTGTATAAATTTATCGTTAAACTTAGTTCACATGTGACATATCCCCTCCACTTTTTCTCTCTTGTAGAGATAAATTTATATATTTATAACAAATTGTGTGAATTTGATCAAAATAAGAGTGTATTTAGTAGCAACAGACAAATCAGTGATGAAGAAGATATTGGGAGGACAACAAGAAGGATTAGAGAGATATGAATCACTTTCGTGTTAACTAATGCATTGTAGCCAATGATTTTGCAGTCCATCACTATCAATGGCGATTCCCTCATTTGGAAGGTCGCATGTTCAAATCGCAACGGAGACAATAAGTTTACGTGTTTAATAAGCTTAAAACTTATAAATAGATATTAGATTGTAATAGAGTTATTAGTGTTCAAAAATATTGTAAGAGTTCCAAATTTGCATGACATCATAGAGAGTGTTTGTGAGTAATTAACTTGTGAATAAAGTGATCTTCACAAAAGCTGAAAACAGAAGTATCAAATATGTGCTTCTACAAAAAGTGTTCGATGTACAAAACGATGATGAATAAAAGTAGATGTTGAAATGCGAAATAGAATAAAATAATTGCAATTTAAAGAAGAAACTAAATTTTGAAAAGCAAGGTAGTGCCAAATGACATTATTATGACAACACACTTGGCTATCAAAATGTTTAAAGTTCATAAATTCGAATTGGGCCGAGAGTACCCCTTTGTCATACTTGGCCTCAAAGGTTTGCTTTAAATTAAAGCGGTACAGTTTCTTCCCCACGATCTGCAGACGAAAACCCTACATCTCCGCCACTCCACGGCCGAAAAACCGCAGGCAGAAAAGACTCTCTAGAGCCGCCATGGCGAGCAGCGCAGAGCCTACATTGCAGAAGAAGGATGAGGAGGAGGAGGATTCGACGGAAAACCAGCCGGCGGAAGATGAGGACACCGGAGCTCCGGTTGCTCCCATCGTCAGACTCCAGGAAGTCGCCGTCACCACTGGTGAAGAGGACGAGGACGTCCTTCTGGATCTGTTAGTATTCGATTCGATTATTAATCACGATTCTAACATATTGTTTGCCTATTATGTGTTGCCTCTTAATTCTTCTTCCAATTGCTTCATGTTTACTCCGTAAATTTCTACTAAGAGAAATATTATGTTCGTTTAGATTAACTTTTACTTGCATTTAGTTGTGAACTTCTATAGTGGCTTTAAATTATTTAATGACCTGTTTGGGAACTTAAATTTAGATTTCAATTTCAGATTTGACTCAAATTACTTGTTTGGGAATCCAAAAAATTGGATTTGAGCTGAATCCCTCTAATTCCAAATAAATCCTAATTACAAATCCACATGCTTCTACCGGTAATTTAAAATCTAAGAATTCAATATTTAGAAAATGAAATCCAATCATTCAAATAAGTTCCTAGTTTTTAATCACTACGTAATGTAATTTTGTTTTCATGAATGCAAATTCAGTCCTTTTGATTTGTGGATTAATGGGGTTATGCTTTTGATCATCTTTGTATAGAAAAGCAAAATTGTATAGATTTGATAACGGAGGAAATCAGTGGAAAGAAAGAGGAGTTGGGACTGTTAAGCTCTTGAAGCACAAAGAAAATGGAAAAGTTAGGCTTGTGATGAGGCAGTCAAAGACACTTAAAATCTGTGCTAATCACTTGGGTTAGTCCTTTTCTTCTACTCTGAATTCTTATTTTATTTGCCTCTCTGTGTAGATTTACTCGGCACACTGTAGTATTCTGTTTTATTTATTGTGACTTTGTTATAGTTCTATCTACGATGACGTTGCAAGAACATGCCGGGAATGAAAAATCCTGTGTTTGGCATGCTGCTGATTTTGCTGATGGAGAGCTTAAGCAAGAGACTTTCTGTATCAGATTTCCTTCTATTGAGAGTAAGTTCCACTTTTCATGTATTGCAGTCACACTTCAAATTCTCGTGGTGTCTATTCGACTGAGATTCAATCAATCTTTTGTTTGAAACATCATGTTTTATAAATTCTTATAATTATCTCAGACATTCTTGTTTTGTGGATTTCAAATGTATTAGAATAATGTTAACAACTAAGCCGTATCCCAAGTAACCTGGGATCGCCTACAAGAATAATGATGATAATCTCGTTCAGTCCTTGAAGAATAATTTTAGTTGGATTATATTCTTTTCTTGGACAGAGTTCCAAAAATCACCGTAGATTGTGAATCACAAAAAAATGAAATCGAGAATTCTTCTTTTTACCAATGTAGCTTTTAGGAATTTTTGTCCCAATTGTTTCTTCTCAAGCAATTTTTCCTCTGAAAAAGGTAGCTGGTTTTGAAGTTACTATATTAGTTTCTGTCTGGCTATTAGCCACAATGGGCTGGGAAGATGGTAAACTGGTTTATAGGCGGGTTCCGGGATGTCATGAACATGTGATTATCTGGGCAGAGTTGTGTTATTGCCCTTTGCCCCTGTATAAATCCTCAAAACTTTAATCTGTATGTTTTCTTTTTCATTCCAGTTTGGCAAAACATTATGTTTATTTGAAGAAATATCAAGCATTTGGTTGCAATGTTTTGTTCTCAAACAAATATTGAACTAATATAGGGTACTTTCAACTAACTATATGTGTTTGGTATGCGCACACAAACTAGCTTATTTCAATTTTTTCTTTTTTTTTCAAGATTGCAAAACTTTTAAAGACAAGATTGGAGAAATAGCCGAAGCGCAACAGAGGAAAGTGGATGACAAGGACACAGCCTCTGAACTTATCGATAAACTGAGCGTTGAAAGCAAAGAAGACAAGCCCGAAGACAAAGGCGCATCTGCGACGTCTGCTGAGGCGCAACAGAAGAAAGTTGAGGACAGCGAAGAGGCAAACTCTGTCTCTAAACTTATCGAAAAGCTGAGCGTTGAAAGCAAAGAAGAAGAAGACAAGCCTGAAGACAAAGGCGCATCTGCAACATCTGTTGAGGTTAAGAAGGGAAGTGTTTAAGACATTTTACTCTTAATTATTCTTGTTTTTTTTCCAAGACTCTTAGGAAATGGTTTGGGACATGGTTTTCCTCGGTGGGATCAGAGTGCAGTTTTCAACATACATACGGTTTATATGCACAGTAGTTTATCATGGTTATGTCCTGTACTTTTTTATTTTTTTTGTTGATTCTGGGGAGGGTGGGGTAGGGGTAGGGGGAGGGGGGGGTGGGAAATCTTATTTTATGTGCTACTCTCAGTTATGATTATAGACCCATATGTATAAGCGTGCACGTTTTTTTTTTGTCGTCAGTATCATCATTATCCTAATCAATGTCTATAAGATTAAAAAAATAATTTCCTACCCCGGAGTACTTTATAAAAATAACTTTTGCTACTTTTGCAAAATCAAATTTACAGAATAACTAGTATTATAAAGTTATCAAAGTATTATACTTCTTCCGTTCCAAAAAGTCTTTTTTGTTTATTATTACGACCTCTCGATAACTTTAATTTGTTTTCTTATTTTCATTGATCATTTGATAAAATAAAATATTCTTGTTACCTCTTACTCTCTCCGTTCCTTTAAACTCTTTTACTTTTGGCAAAAATAAGGAAAGTGTAATTTTGGTTGACTTTTCAATTTTGCCCATGATGTAATGGGTAAAAGTAAGATATGATAGTTTGGTTATTAGTGAAAAAGTATGATGTGATAGGTAGGGTATGAAAAAGTAAAGGTAAAAATGGTTTTTAATAGAAAGTAGAAGTGTTTTAAGGAATTCATAAAAAACGAAAGAGGAAGGGTTTTGTGGAACGGATGGAGTATTTTGTAGAGTTTTCGATTTAGTTTTTTAAAACTACTCCGGGTAATTTTTTTATGTGTTATTTCATTACCAATTTTTAAATAAAATCATTTTAAAATCCACGGAGTTTTGCACGTTAATCAAAGTAAGAAATTCTTTCTGTGACGGAGGGAGTAGTTCTTACGGAGTATAATTTATCTCTTGGGTGGGGTTCCCATGACATTGGGTTCCAATGTCATGGGATGACTCGAGTGCGCTCCGGTGTCTCGTTCGTAAAATTGACGATTTTTATTCCCCCTAACCCCCCGGTAAACCTTCCACCCAACCCGACCCGAACACACCCCTCTGCCCTCGTCAATTGTATCTCACAAGTTGATTTTGACTTTGGAATCAAAATTTGACTCCAAAGTCAAAATCAACTTGTGAGATGCAATTGACGGGGGTAGGGGGTGTGTTCGGGTCGGGGCTGGGTGGGGGGTCTACTGAGGGGTTAGGAGTAAGAATCGTCAATTTTACGAACGGGGCACCAGAGCGCACTCGGATCATCCCATGACATTGGAACCCAATGTCATAGGAACATTGGTGTTATCTCTTTTTTGCATTACTTATATCATGCAATTTCGTTTTTTATTCATCGTGTTAAATCAAAGGTGAAAACATTTTGGGAGAAAGAGAGGTAATAACTTAATAAGATTGGGAATAGAATTAAAATTGCCGAATTTTTTGTTGATCACGTTGTATAAATAATTACCTTTAGTTCTTCAAAAAATAATATTCTCTCTTCATACTCTCTCCGTCCCATTTTAAATTATGTGTTTGCCTTTTTTCTTCGTCCCAAAATAAGTTGTCTGTTAGTTGTTTTCGTAAATTTTTAAGAGTAAAATATCTAAACTACTTCTAAAATAAGTCACTCTTCTCCACTTTATCTTCTCATTCATCATTATTCCTCCTAAAAAGTACTGACAATTTCAGAAAATCAACTCTATTTTTTTCTTTTTCTTAAATATGCTCAAAATTCAAAACATGCGATTTAAAACGGGACGGATGGAGAATTTTTTTAATTCAAACGGGATTGTTAAGTTTAATTTTTTTAGTCAAATTGTAAATTCTTTGACCTTGAATAATACTCTTTTAGTCCCATTTTAAATTGTTTTTTTTGTCCGTCCTAAAATAAATCGCATGTTTCTTGTAATAATAAAACTTTAAGGGTAAAATACATAACTACTCCTAAAATAAACCACTTTCCATCTTATCTTCTCATCCATCACCTACTCATGTGGAAAGAGGAAGATATTTTTGAAAAATCAAAACCATCTTTTCCCTTCTTTAAATATGTTCAAAGTTAAAACGGGTAATATAAAATGGGAAGGTGAGAGTAAATTAGTTATATTGTAAAATTAGGTTTATTTTAAAACATTGTTTTAAAATATCAAATTTTTATAATATTTAATTATTTTAAATTATATTTAATTAATGGTTAAAAAGTGCTACAATTTTATTAAAAAATCAAAATATGACAATCTTTTTAAGGAGTAAGGTAGTAATGATAATAATAATTACCTATAAGTTGGGTTGGTTCTTTACACTTTAGCCGCTAAACCAGCCCGTGATTAATGATTTTATTTTCGCAGTTTGTCGGTATCCTTAATTAATTCCTTTGGACTTCCATCTTGACCTTTATCTTCACCATCATTATTTCGTTTCTCTTAAATAAGTAGTAGTTTGGGCAAAAACAAATATGAAATATTTTTGCTTTTGTGAAAAAATTAATTTAAAGTTAATCACTCTCAAACATTTTTTAAGTCATTCTTAGTGTACTCACAAAAGTTTAAAAAAAGGAATTTGGAAGGAAAAAAAAAAGAAAATGATTTTTCCTCATTTTTCTCACTAGTATGGAAGGAATTTGATTTTTCTCTCGTCTTTGTACATTTTACCTTCTTATTTTTTTTCCTCCAATTTTCTTTTTTTTTCCTCTCTGATCAAACAAGAAAAATGTTTTCCTTCTCATTTTCTTTTCTTTTCCTTCTCAAATTACTTGAACAAACATAGTGTTAGTGTTTTAAATCATTGTATATCATACCAAAACCCAAAAGATATAGAGAGTATTGTAAAGAGAAATTTCTATGTTGATAGAGGGAATTACAATTATGAAATAATCAAATAATCACCGTACCGAAGCTATTCATTCATCCATTGTGGTTTGTGTGTATTTAACCAAATCGTAGACTTTAAGAAATGTATGAAATTGAGAAAACAACCAAAGTTTTTAAGTCTTCCATTCATATTTAATTGTTTGTTTCACTTTGTATGTCAAATATTTGACTAACTCTATATAAAAATATACAATAAATTAAAATATAAATATTAAATTAAATTATTGATCAAAAAATACTTTAAATTTATTTTTCAAAATGTTTTTTGCTTGCAAATATTCCTAAAAAATATTGTTGGTCAATGTTTAAATTTGAAAAGCAACCCAGAAAATTAAATTTCTGTGGAGGGAGTATTCCTATATAAAAAGTATCATCATTAAAGCAACATCCATTCATTTACTTTTGGAAAATGGATAGAGTGAATGGTGCAAATTGAGGATATGCTTAGATTTTATGAATTGACTATGCTCACCATTTTTCTCTATGTTTGTTATATTTAGAGCGATTTCTTATATTTCTTCTCATTTTAATTTGTTTGGTCAAATTTTCTAAAATCTTGACCATATGTTTCGAAAAAAAATATTGAATTGTGCCAACAGATTCATTTTGAAACGTAGTTTTGAAACATCATAATTGTAACTCCGTATATTCTAAATTTATATATAAATGGAGATACTAATAATTAATCCCTCCCTCCTAAAATTAACTTCCTAGTTTGACTTCTGTAGTCAAACTTTTTAAACTTTGACCGTATATTACGGAAAAAATACATTGAATTTTCATATAAATTTATTAGCAATAGATTCATTTTAAAACATAATTTTGAAATATTTAATTTTTATAAAACATATTTATATAAAAATTGAGATATTAATGGTCAAAGTATCGCATTAGAGACCGTGAAAAGTCAAATGAAAAGTTAATTTTAGAACGGAGGAAGTAAAGTATTGCACTAAAGATGGTGAAAATTCAGATAAAAATAAAGTTATGGAGGGAAGAGAGTACTTTTTTTTGTATCTGATAAATTTAAGATGGGATAGTGATAACTGGATTGGGCAAAAAGATACTTGAGTTGAACCGCATTAAAAGATTGAATTCAATCAATTAATTAGTTCAACTCAAGAACTTATATACCAATTATTTTACCCTTAAACTTCCGATGTGGGATGACACTCTAAGAATATCAACCTTCATTCATTGTCCACCTTAATTAAACAAAGTATAGTCCCACAGATTATATTTCTAATGCCATTTTTCAAGGGCAATCCAAGTGAAAATTTCGTTTTAAAATGGATGAAATAGTAAAAAGAGATAAAGTTGGAGTCATTAGTGAGAAAGATAACCCATCAATAAAAGTGTACCAAAAGCCATCTAATAATTGTTACAAACTCTATCAAAGTATAGAATGTGAATTGAATCACAATATGTGTTCACAGTATCTTATCATCATCCTATCCTAATTCTTACATAGGGAACCAATCTCAAAAAACTCTATAGGTTGGGAAATGGATGGTACAATAATACAACAATAATGGTGCAAAAAAACCCCACTTTAATTTCCCACATTTTGATGTATAAACATCTATAACTCCATAAAATTATTCTCATCACCATAATATAAAAGAATCTAAAAATGAAACCATAACACAATAGTAATCTTCATCATGATAGGAAAGATGTGCCGGCATGGTTATGATGTAGAAGGTTATGAGCAATGGTATCCCTTGCTATCCTTGCTCCGGCCGACCGGACCGGAATCTCCGGCACCATCTCGTCGTCGACGAGCTCGAACCCCATTTCGACCCCCTCCATCTCCTCCTTCCTCAACTCACATATGTTATGCAAGACGCAACACGCCCCGAGCACCACGGGCAGGTCTTGGAGCTTCACCTCCGTCCGCTTCTGGAGGCACGCCCACCTCCCCTTGAGCCGCGCGAAAGCGTTCCGCGCCACGCTCTGTATCTCCGCCATTTTCTCGTTGAACGCGTGCTGGGCCCACGTCAGGTGCGGTTGCGCGTAGGGGACCAGGACCCAGTCCGTCAACGGGTACCCTGAGTTCCCGACGATCCAGACGCCGTTCAGAAGCCCCGCGCCCGCCCGCTGGTAGAGGGCGGACTTCTCCAGGACTTGGTCGTCGGGCATGGAGCCCGGCCACCCGATGCACACGTCGGTGAAGACCCCGGTGGGGCCCACGACGCCTTGGACGGTGATGGAGTATGACGTCTTCTGGTTCCGCTCCGTGTGGCGCTTGTTGAAATAGGCGGCAACGCTGATCTTCGGGGCGATGATCGGAATGTGGGTCGTGTACATTGATCCCACCACCCTCTGGATCCCGGAGATGGCTTCGAATTCGTCTTGTATGGACTTGATCGCGGTTTCGTCGGGCCATTGGAGGTATTTCGGCATTAGAACTGTCTTAATTGCAGTGCAGACCTCAAGAACTAGTTTGTGGCAAGTAGAGATGCCTAATCCGAATTTCTTGGAGACGAGCCGAAGCGGCTCGCCCGTGGCGAGTCTCCATATGCAGACTGCCACCCGCTGCCGCACCGGGACGGCGTCTCTTAGTGTGGTGTTCTCTTTCGCCACCACCGAGCTTAACTCGCCGCAGATCATCTCGAATGTGTCCTTCCCCATTCGGAAGGCTTTCTTGAATTCCTCCTCCGGGAAATCAGGACTGTTGCATTGGTCCCACCAGTCCTGAGACCGGTTCTTGACCCACAGCCGCCTCTGAGGAGGCAGCTGCGCGGGCCCGGGGACTGAATCTTGATCTTCTACAGTTGTGGCTGCTGCTGCTACGGCAGCCACAGCGACGGAGTCGAATGAGCATCCCTGTTTTCTTGTCCTCTTCCTCGCGGCGTCAATTTGGCCGACGGCATCATCGTGGCGGCGAACGTCGGACAGGTACTCCCACATCGCGAGGTTCGCCGCCCGGCGGTTAGCTTCCAGAAAGGCCCTGTCTTCCATGTCTTCCCTGTCCAAAGCTTCGTGCTCCTCCTTTTCTTGCTCCTCAAGCAACATAAGCGACGTCAGTATCTCTTTCACCTCGTGGGTCTTCACCACCGCGCGCTTGTCGCCTTCCGGGACCTCGCCGCTCCCCTCCCCGTCGTCGGCAACGTCTTCCCCGGCGCCGCCGTCATTCTTCCGGCGGCGCTTGTTGAGCAGGCCGTTCCCACTCATTTCTCAAGAAAAAATCTGGGTTCCGCGGATTTGGACTCAACTAGTAAGAGAGACAGCCGGAATTTCCCTGAGCAGGAAAATGAAGCCTCATAAATAGAAAAAACTGACGGAATCAGAGGGATTGCGGCGAAGGTGTTCGACGAAAAGTGTGAACGGATTGGGGGCTAGAAAAATCAAGGGGGGAAAAAAAGCTTTTGACTTTATGGGATTTACAGACAGAAGGGAAGAAATGAAAAGGGATTTGATGGAATTGAATTGGATAATAATGGAAGAATGATGGGGGGGTTTGAAATGGGAGTACCTGGTTTTCGTGTGAAGGGGTTTGGAGAAAACGTGTGAAAGGTGTGAACGCGGCTTCCACACAATTTGACCGGAGGCGGTGACGCCACTGACACTCTCTCTCTCTCATTAATTAGTTACGAATATTATTCATCTCTATCAAATCAATTGCCCCATATGGTACCCTCCTCATTCCTCATCTTTTCCACCCATATTATCTAATGGGTAAAGCTATTTGTAATCAAGCATTTGCAGCTCATTTTGTATAAAGCAAAAATGAACCAATATTTTGTATTGGTGTAATGTTAATTTTTGTTAACGCACCAATACTTTGTGTCAGTATACATTTTTGTTAATGCACCAACACTTTGTGTCAGTGTGAACCATCAAAATGTTAGTGCATACCTTTGGTGTACAAATAAGGTACAAATTTTGAGTACATGTAGCATGCTCTTTATCTAATAGGGAGTAAGTACCCAATCAATATAAAAAATTCTAAAAAAAACAAAATTGAAAAATATCAAATCAGAAAGGAATAGAATGTTCGGTTCCATATTTGAGAAAGAAACGAGATAACTTCTCATAGTGAAAATCTGGAACCAAATATATATACTAATATACTATAACTATAATAATTTTTTAATATTTTTTTCCATTGAATAATGTGTTTATTTTTAAAATTTGGCTCAAATTTTATTGTGTAGGCATTGTACCATTATTTGAATTTTAAATTTTTGTAGAAGAATTTAAAAATATTAACACGTATTTGAAACATCATTTTATTATCTATTCACGGTAGTTTGTGAGATATATACAAAGTTTCATAAGCATTTCTTGCTTTTAATTTTTCATTTTTTCATTTTTTCATTTTTTCATATTTCATGTTTTTTATTTAAATATACTTTTGAAGTTTTTCAAAAATAAATACTTTATGAGACTTTAAAGTTTAAATTAAGTGCGCATGTATTCCTCCCGAAACCGATACAGAATCATTCCAAACCATACTGAACGAAATTTTAGGATCGATATCGGTACGACATAAAATTTCATACCGGTTCAAAATATTTAGTACGGTATCGGTACGAGCTAAATATCATATCATACTCACTCTAATCATATCATCATGTGTGTGTGTGTGTGTGTAAAGTGGAGCGGATTAATTGTGGTTGCGCCATGTGTCATGCGATGTAGGACTTTTTACCAAGTATCACGCCATGTGTAGCCACATAAGCATTCTTCTACCAAATACCATTCCATGTGTCATGTGTTGCCATATGTCATGTCATGTAATAATATACTATATTTTTTATATTATGATATCTTTTATCTTGCAATTTTTTTTCTATATATTTCACTTTAGTTTTTTTAAAGTAACTTTTTTATGAAGTATGAAAATTCATTACAATTAAAGTTTAATTTATTTGTAAACAATCATTCATGCATTTCTAATAGATTAAAAAAATCATTATAGATAATGTTATATATATAAAGTGGAACGGATTAATTGTGGTTGCGCCATGTGTCATGACATGTAGGACTTTTTACCAAGTGTCACGCCATGTGTAGCCACATAAGCTTTCTTCTACCAAATATCATTCCATGTGTCATGTCATGTAATAATATACTATATTTTTTATATTATGATATCTTTTATCTTGCAATTTTTTTCTATACATTTCACTTTATTTTTTTTTAAAATAACTTTTTTATGAAGTATGAAAATTCATTACAATTAAAGTTTAATTTATTTGTAAACAATCATTCATGCATTTCTAATAGATTTAAAAAAATCATTATCGATAATGCCTAAACACGTGTGCCAATAACACAGAGTACGTGTTAACCATTAAATAAGAATTAATTTTATCAAATTCTTTATAAAATACTTCACTTTCTAACACAAAATAATCATTATTAATATTAAAGATTAATAAAACCTTCAAATATTTATAACAGATTTTTGATAAAATAATATGGTTATGTCACCTATTGTTTTGTAGAGTGTTTAATATGTAAAGTTAACGTTTTAATATTGCTTCAATTCTCTAATAAATTACATTGGAAATAACTTTAATCAAACTTCGTAAACCAAAACAGACAATTTAAATTGGGACATATGGAGTAATATAATTATAAAAACAACATTGTATATAATTTTTAAAAGTATCCATCATTAATTTTATTTTAGTATTTCTCAAAAACATTAGTATACACATTTTAAATATATACATCTTTATATAAAAAATTTATATAACACGAGTATTATACAATTATTAAAAAATTAAAAAAAAGAAAATTACATTAAGAGCATGTCAACAATTCAGAATACATAGGAGCTTGTGCGAAGCACGAGGTTAACACTAGTATTATCTATTTCTAATGTCACATTATTTTCTCATTTATCTTTTTCTATCCCTGATAAAATAATATGAGAGTTTGATGACCAACAAAATTAAATGCGACAATAGTTAGTTTTGGGATAGATAAAGTAGGTTTGAAGTACCCAACTTTGACAACAATTGCAATATCATTGTGACCGGTATCCAAAAAGAAAACTCTTGGATAAGAAAAAAAAGTACAAAAAGTAAAATATATCAGTGCGATCAATGATAGTGTGACAATGATAATATGACAATTGTGGTATATAGTGTGGTGAGCGCGGTAATGTTGCAATTACTAATTTGAGAAAACACATATTTCCTCCATTCCAAAAAGAAAGTTACAATTACTATATTGAGAATTTTCTCTATTTAACAAGAATATAAAGAGTTGAAACTTTCACTTTTCACGATCTAGAGTAAAAAATACATTATTAAAAAACACAATTTAGAATAAAATAGAAGAGAAAATATAAAAAAAACAGATGATACGGAATTTTGAAAAAGTTATTTACATTATAAAAACAATTTATGATTTACTCCGTAATTAGAAAAGGTTTAAATATATTTTAGGGTGTCTAATTATATTTGACACCACTCTTTTACAATACTAATGGCTACCCCAGTTCAATTGGGACACGTAGGGTTTCCTGTTGTTAAGACTTTGGCTAACATCTGTCAAAACGACACCAAAACGACATTAAAACTTATAATAATTTTCTAAAATGATACTTTCTAATTTTATATTTTTCTCAAATTTCTTAATTTTTTGAAATAAAAACTCATTAATTATATAAAAAATTTAAATTTGTTAGATGAGAATATAATAAATAAATTTATAAATATAATTTTATAAATTTTAAACTAAACATTTCAAGTTGTTTCCATATGTTTAAAATAAGGTAAGTAAAACATCTAATACTCCTTTCGTCCAAAATAACTTGTGTCAATAGAAAGTTCTATACTATTTTTTTGTTATTATTTATTTGAAAATAACTTCGGTCAAACATCATAAATCGAAGCATGAGTCTTATTTTGGAATGGGTGGAATCGTTTAATAAATATTTAATTTACATGACTTTCTTAAAAATAATTTTAAACAATCTAAAACGATCGTAATCAACTATATAAAATTATATTTAAATTTTTATTAATTGTATTTTCATCCTATAAAATTTAATAAACAATTTCTATATATGTAATGACTTTTTATTTCAAAAGTGCTCTAATTTGAGAAAATACAAAATTAGAAAGGATCATTTTGGAAAATTAGTTTATGTTTTAACGTTTTTTTTGGTGCCGTTATGTCGACCGTTAGTCGAATGATTAAACTGAGTGTTTTTATTAATTAGTGAGTACCATTTCTCTAGTTAGTTTATCTTTGAAACTAATTTGGGAAAACATATAATCTCTCCGTCTATTAATTTCTTTCTCACTTTACGTTTTGAGTTGTTCAAAATTTTTTCGTCTGTTTCCTATTTGTGCAAAAAACTTTTAATGAATGTAGCATTACACTCATACTTTTCATTCACACTATTTACTTTATTACATTACATCAATGACAAATATGCAAAGTCTTTATATTTTTTACTTTTTCTTAATATCCGTACCATATCAAAATGAAATGTTGGACAGGGGAAGTAGTTATTAAGTACCAATTAAAAATTTACTCTAAAACAAATTTAAAAATGGTTTCATGAAAGTAAGGAAAAAAATCGGATTTGTGAATAATCAAAACAACACTATACAAAAAGAAATATTTGCATTAAATAACACTAAAACTTAAGTCATTTCCCTAAATAGCACTTAAACTATTTTATTTCTTAAATAACATTTAATAATGTTCATAATGTCCAGTGATGACAAACATTTACTTGAATAGTAACTAATAGATAATGACTAAAATTGTTACATTCGGAAAAAACACATGTAATGCTATTTAGGGAAAGTCATTATGTTTTAGTGTTATTTAAGTAAATTCTCATACAAAAATCCTTTCAATAAAAAAAACGGTTTCATGTAATTAAGTAAAGGAAAAATTGTCTTCAATAATTTCATCTTTTCGCGCTCTTTAAAAAACAAGTCAACTTTTCATTGTCGATGAAAATAATCTAACATTTTTGCATGTGTGCGAATTTTGGATTGCCGTTAAAAAACTAACGGCTATTTACTTGTGAATAAATAAAAGGTGAGATTAATTTAAGCAAATTTACTTGTGAGAAACAGACATTTTTCAAAAATTCTATTAAGTGACCGTTAGTTTTTTAACAGTGACCCAAAGCTTGCACATATGCAAAGAAGATGGGTTATTTCTGGTGACTTGATATTATTTGAAATAATTTATCCCGAAGTAAAAGGTTAGGGTCTATGAATAATCAAAGCAAACACTACAATTCTACAAAAAACCTTTTAAGAAATCAACAAAACAAGAAAACTGAAAAATGAACTCCTAATTCAAGAAGAAAATAAAGGCTACGCAGAAGCGAGAACTCCTTTGCGCTGCGGACGAAACCCTCAGCCGCCTGCTCGCCTCTGCCCGGAATTCACCCTTTCTCCGCCGACGTCGGATACCGATCAGCCAAACACGACGTTGCCCCCCTCTGCTGCATCAACCCTTCGCCTCTGCGCAGCGGCTCAACGCGATCACTCCTCCAGGTAATTAAATTTACTTAATTTTTCATATCAGTAATTAATTTATCAAATATAAGAGTATGAATATCCGATGCTTTTGTATTCTATATGAGTATTTTAGTAATTATTATGATTTATAAATTCAATTGTTCGTTAATTTTACTTCAAAATATGTAGTAATTATTAATAGTGTTTTTATATTAGGATTAACCATGCAGAGATATTTCAAAAATCAGAGTTTATTGGAAATTGTATAACTTTTGATATTAATGCTCTGGTGTCACAAGTATGAACTCAATGTACATATATTTAAGAAGAAAAATAATCTTAATATTAATATAGGTCTCAAATGTTTCTTTCTGGGCATGAAGTTTATGAAGAATGAGTTTTGAAATAAAATTTGTGATCAGTGGTTGAATGATTTCTTAATAACATATGTTGAGAGTGATGTCCGGTTGCTTAGTAACATTTGTCTTTTTTACCATTACTGATGATGTAATAATAGTCCACTTTAAAAAAAGAAAGCTAGAAGAATTCAGTTGTAAAAAACATCATTTTGTACAATTTTATCTTTAATTGTGGTACTAATTGAATAGTATTGGTTTAAATTTAATGCTAAAAGGTACAAATTAGCTCGAAATAGAAATTTGGAGTTTTGAGAGTTTGGGACCCCCTTGCGTGGGATCCAACTGGGTTGTTGTTGTTGTTGAGAGTTTGGGACCTCGTGGTCACCTTTACCCACTTAGTATAAATTATTTACCCTACATTTGTGCATTAGTCTGAGCTTCTGATTCCACATTTATCGCAACATTGTCATCTACAATATCAGCATCAATTTCTGGCCTTTTCTAGAAAGCTACGATACACGTACATGGAAGTGATACAATCTTAGGTATTTTTAGTTCTACACTTCTACCTTCTATTCTCCATATGCTTAAACCTCAAACTGTGATTATGTTAACCAGATATGAAACACAATCGGCAAATGTTCTCACCATTGATGAGTAATTGAGTATTTAGATATTTAGATGATCCGAGTTCCAAATCTGATTTACTTCCGTATTTTTTTTGAAGATATTTATGAAACACAACTATACCTATCTTATTTTTACGTTTTTGATTAAGCATTTGCTCAGTTATTTTATTTCAATTTTTGTGATTTTTTATGTAATTTTATTCATATGTGAAGCGGCACTATAAAGCAAAAAGGTGTAAGAAATTTGATAGGAGAGGGATAAACTATCAGTCTATCAGAGTAATGAGAAGTAACCAACTGGTGGCACAAATCCCAGCGAGCCTCGGCCATGAACTCAGGGCTTCTCTCAGCCGCCGTCTTGTCAAAACATATGACCAGGTTCCCCTTTGTGTTAGATTAGTTTTTTTCTGTAACCCTACAATCATAATTCTTTTTTTATATTTTGAAAATATACCGATACTTGTTCAGCACTACTAGTGCTGGTTCCCCATTTATTGAACCCAGACCCACCCCTGTCTCTACCGGTTTTGGCACCGATACCCTCACTCGCCACCGCCGGCACGGTATCGAGTCCGGATGTGGAATTGCTGCTACCGGTTCTGGACTGTGTCGTTTCCAAGTCTACGCAAAAGTGGTTTGCCCCAAGTTTTATTGGTGTAAATAAAGTTGCAAGCAGTCATGAAATATTCAAGTCCCAAAAAGCATTGGAGTGCAGTCACAGTTTTTGCCAAGCGATTTTACTCTGGGTACATGTTTTCTCATTTTTGTTTTCCTTTGGCTTTTGATCTTATATGCTTCATCAGTCTTGGTTTCTGGTGTGTGTATATATTCACTGTAGAATGCATCAACTGCAGGAAACATAATTTTGAAGTTCATGTGGATGCCCTCAGCATCAAAACTGGGTTTGACCCAAGAACATCTAGGTTCAACTTTCAGCTGAAGAATTTAATGAGAAGCAATCGGATTGCTGAGGCGGAAGAACTCTATGAACAAATGCCTTGCAAAAACACTTGCTCGGTAAATATGATGATATCAGGGTATGTTAATTCTGGCAATCTTTCTCGTGCTGGTGAGGTGTTTGATAGCATGTCTGAGCAAACGGAGGTGTCTTGGACAATAATGATTGGAGCATACTCGCGTCATAAGCAGCCCAAGGAAGCTTTTACACTCTACGCTCGAATGTGTAGATCGGGGATGAATCCTGATTATATCACCTTTGCTACACTTTTATCTAGCTGTGATGGCACATCAACTGCAATTGAAGTGCTTCAGATTCATGCGCATATCGTTAAGTTTGGAATCAGTTCAAATAATATGGTTTGCAATAGCTTGGTGGATTCGTACTGCAAGTGCCAACGCCTTGATATAGCCCTTCAACTCTTCGAAGAAATGGCTGCTAAAGATTCGGTGAGCTTTAATGCAATGATAACAGGATTCTCCAAACAGGGTGCAAATGGAGAAGCAGTAAAGCTCTTTCAAGAAATGCAATACTTGGGTCTGAAGCCTTCAGATTTCACTCTCGCGGCAGTGATAGGCGCCGTTGTTGGATTAGATGATGCTACATTTGGGAGACAAGTTCATGCACTTGCAATTAAGACTAGCTATGTGTGGAATGTATTTGTAGGGAATGCCTTCCTTGACTTTTACTCCAAACAAAACCTTTTAGGTGACACAAGTAAACTCTTTGATGAAATGCCCGAGTTGGATGGGGTTTCTTATAATATTATAATTACAGGGTTTGCATGGGATGGTCAGTATGAGAAAGCATTCCATCTCTTCCACAAATTAAAGAATACTATGTTTGATAGAAGGCATTTTCCTTTTGCAACCATGCTGAGCATTGCAGGAATTACTCAGAATTTACAATGGGGAAGGCAACTCCATGCACAAGCTATAGTGACTAAAGCAGATTCAGAGATACAAGTAGGGAATGCTCTAGTTGACATGTATGCAAAATGTGACAGACTAGAGGAAACAAATTCTGTTTTCACAAACCTGGCTTATAGTTCTGTTTCATGGACAGCAATAATCTCTGTATATGTTCAGAAGGGCCTTTTTGAGGAAGCCGTGACGTTGTTCAAGGAAATGGCTAGAGAAAATGTTCATGGTGATCAGGCTACTTTTGCATGTGTAGTAAAAGCTTCGGCAAGCTTGGCTTCAGTTTCGCTTGGGAGGCAATTACACTCAGATATAATCAGACTAGGATTGATGTCAAATGTTTTCTCAGGAAGTGCACTCCTGGACATGTATGCAAAATGTGGGGCTATAAAAGATGCAATTGAGATTTTCAAGGAGATGCCTGATAGAAATATAGTGTCCTGGAATGCAATGCTTTCAGCTTATGCTCAAAATGGTGACGATGAAGCTACCCTGAGGTCCTTTAAACTGATGACTGAATCTGGTCTTTATCCTGACACAGTTAGTTTCCTCAGTGTCTTAACTGCATGCAGTCATCATGGGCTTGTTGAAGCTGCACAAGAGTATTTCAGTTCCATGACCCAATCATATAATTTGGAACCAAAGAGAGAACACTATACTACTATGGTTGATGTGTTGTGTAGAAACGGACGATTTGATGAAGCAGAGAAATTAATCTCTGAAATGCCTTATGTGCCGGATGAGATTCTCTGGTCATCAGTTTTGAACGCATGCAGAATTCATAAGAATCATGAACTTGCCAGAAAAGCTGGTGACCAACTATTCAATATGAACATGTCAAGTGATGCCGCTGCTTATGTTTATGTCAATATGTCAAACATCTATGCAGAGGCTGGCCAATGGAATAAAGTAGCAAGAGTGAAAAAGGATATGAGGGAAAGGGGAATTAAGAAAGTAGCAGCATGTAGTTGGGTTGAAATTGACCATGTTGTTCATAAATTTACTGCAAATGATATGACCCACCCACAATTTGAGGCAATTAGAAAGAAAATTGACTTATTGGGGATGCAGATGGAAAAGGAAGGATACAACCCGAACACAAAGTGTGCCCTACACAATGTAGATGAAGGAGTTAAATTAGAATCACTCAAGTATCATAGTGAAAGATTAGCTATCGCGTTTGCTTTGATTAGTACTCCAGAAGGGTCGCCTATTGTAGTGATGAAAAATTTGCGAGCTTGTATAGACTGTCATGATGCCATCAAAATAATTTCAAAAATTGTTGGGAGGGAGATTAGTGTTCGAGATTCAAGCAGATTCCATCATTTTAAAAATGGATCATGTACCTGTAGAGACTACTGGTGACATAACTATTTGGAAACAGTATAATAGTCATGTGAGTATCAACATTCCAGTGCTTAATCGTGTTCTTATCATTATAGAGGTCTTATTCAGCTCCATACGGAGTGCAGCTATGGTAGGATTGGTAGCTAGGATAGTAGAAAGTTGTTCTCTGTTGTCTAACAAATTCTTGATAGAAGAAAGTGTCCTATAATTATAGAATTTTTCTGTTTTTTTCCTTCAGATTTCAAATGAGCCTCTATTTAACATATTGGATTATGCTGGTCTGTATGCATTTTCTCTTGAGTGAGCATAGTTATCTGTTTCGGGAACCTTACCTCCACAGCTCCACCAAGATGCGGTAAATCTTCTTATATGGTTGAGAAAAGGTTGTTTGCCTATGGTGGTAGATGTGATATATGATCTGGATGAATACACCATTTCATAATTTATTCTTCTGCCTTGTATGTTCCGATCATGTTGTGTCAGGGTGCAACAGTTTACACATGTATTAATATAGGCAATAAAATTCTTTACAGTTTGACCCAATGATTGATAACTTCCTTTACGAAAGTGTACCTTCCTGCTAATTACTTCATTTCCAAGTGTTCATGGGGTGGGAAATCGATTGAGGAAAAAAAGTAATGGAGTTTTAGGTGGTTTGAGGTGTGAGCTACATTGAACTGTAACTTTATGACCATTTTTTCAAGACTGTTTTTTTTCCATTCTGTCTGATTGTTTATAGATTTTACCTAGCTTTTCATTTGAAGAAAACTAAATTATGACCCTCTGTCTCATACTAATGGAAGAGAAAAACACCCTTTTCAATCAAACATTCCGATTCTTTTTTAAAGCAGAATTACTATTATTTAAGTTCCTAACAGTAAATCTTATGATCTTAATGACAATTTTAAAAAGAAAGTTAGTAGTCACCCATTTTCTTTAATTTTGCTTGAAACCTTATGTTTGGGGTTTTCAAACAACAACATCCAACCCAGAAAAATACCATGAGTATGTGAGGTGTGGGAGTGGGTGCATATAGACCTTATTCCTACCCCGAAAAGGTAGAGAGGTTGCTTCCAAATGACATGTTCGGGTTTTACATTGATATATGTTATCTTAAACTTCTTATGCATTAACATATGCTCAAAATCTTGGTATGAAGTTTGAAATAGATTAATTCGTGACTTTATTTGCCATGGACAGGAGGCGGAGCGCTAATCCTGTGTGATTCATGGGCTTTGAATTGAAGGGCCTAACTATTTGAAAGGTTCTAATATGCTTGAACTGAAAGAGGTTGAAGTCATTGAGCAAACGAGTTGCAGACATTGAAAAGGTTTGTTGCTCTCTTAATAGTAGGGAAACAATCTGTACATAGTAATAGTAAGGAAGGCAAAAAATCATCAAGTTTACTTTATGTATTTTCAGCGTTAGCCTTCAGGTGAAATTGAATGAGAGTAGCCAGAGGTATCCATGCTCTTGTAAAGCTAAAGTTGAAGTACTGGGAACTTCTTTCACTCTAAGTATCTCCATGGAAAACAACCTTTTAACTTCTCTACTTGTGTACCTCTTTTGTTCTTAGAGGATCCAGTTGCAAAGCGGGTAGCAACATCTCCTCCTTCCAAGGATGTCCTAGAAGACCAGGCCACCTTGTCACAAACTGACTCCCTTTCACAATACAACGAGGTATTGTAGATTTGTCTTAGTAAATTGTCTTGTTCTCCTTCAATGAAAGGTACACCACACGTTAAGGGAGTCCCTTGATTGGTTTTAGATTTCATTTCTTCAAACTCTCTTTCATTGAAATGTGAGAATTCACTAACTTATTACGGGTAATGCACTAATACTGCTTTAACACCATATTTCACACCACCTTCATTTTTGTACTCACAAATACTCACTCATGCATGTCTATGTGCGTGCCCTAAGCACAAAAAATGAATGTGGTTTGAAAGGCGGTGTTAACATAGCATTTGTCACTCATCACCCTTTTCACTAATCACTACATCCAAGTAATATTGCACTACATCCAAGTAATATATCCTTTTCCTTTTAAAGTAAGATGGTGTGGTTTATATTGATTCTTCCACATCTAAATAGATAACCACACAAATACATTGCCCATGAAACCATATATGTGGAATTGACGCATGATGATGATAGTTTTAGAATTTGCATCTCATTGTTCCTGCTTATAAAGGTTACTAGTGGGACGTCATCTGGTTTATTACATTGTCACCGTGCTTTTTGCCTGAATTGGTTAATTAATCACTATAAATTTAAAGTCACTATCATTGACCACGACGAAGCTGGGATTAAGGTGTTGGTAATTGTGGTGATTCTGATGACAAAAACATGTACTCCTTATCAATTAAATGCGTATAACTTTTTTAGCCAAAGGGAATGTACTTCCCTTTCATGTCTATGTGAGAGAACTAATGTTCCATATCTTTTGTTTATCCTTTTCATGAGATTACCCCAATTCTAAGTCTTTTTTCTTCATCGTCAACGGCTACTTTTAACAAGGTATATGCATGATTGCCTTTAGCATAGTGTCCTACTTATTTATAAAACTTTCAGCTCCTCCTTCCTTGTTGTTTGCTACATCGTTGAAGCTTAATTCTTCTTCGTCGAGATCTTTTTGGCTATCTTTTTTTTTAAATCGGCTGCAGGTATATTATTGTTGGATCTTTTCCTCCTTTTTTGCTCTAGAAAAACTGCCCCCATTTGTGCCGGTGCTCTCATTTCTCAGCATGCTATGTTCAAACGTTATAAGTACAGAGTACTTGTGATTTAGATGGTATTTGGGAGTGATTAACTTATGGTTAAAGTGATTTTCACAAAATCTGAAAGCAAAAGCACCATATATCTGCTTTTCCAAAATGGTGTTCTATGTACACAATGATGGTATAGAAAAGCAGAAGTTGGTATGCCAAACAGAATAAAATGATTACCACACTTAAAGCAGAAGCTAAATTCTAAAAAGCAACGCAGTGCCAAACACCTATAGGTGTTCGATTTTCATCTTTTCGATGAATATTCAGTTTTTATATGAACTAGAATATATGATTCTTATATACTCCCTCTGTCCACAAAAAAAGTTCCCGGTTTGACCGGGCACGCAAATTTATGTGTGCTAAAAATTGTATTGACTTTCCCATTATACCCCTCAACCTATTTGCCCTCTCCACCGCCATAACCCATCTACCGGTGTTGCCAGCGCCGGTGGCGGTTCACCGACCGACCGCTCTTCAGCACCACTCCTGATGTTCTTGTCACCGCCCCTCCCCCCGCCTCCACAACCTTCCGCTATCGTAACCCCCGCTATTGCAAACCCCCCACCCCACCGTCGCAGACCTGCAAGTCTGCAACCCCCGGCCCCTTTCACTGCAGAGATCTAATCGGACTTTCCCATCGTAGATCTAGGAAAACGAATTGTCACCTTCGTGGAGATCTAGATCCGGTCAGATCTAGTAGTGGGGGTGACAATCTAGCTCCGGTGAAGATACAATCCCATACTAGGGGGGAGAAGGAATAAGAAAAAGAATGAAGAAGAGAGAAGGATTGAAGAACAAAGAAGAAGGAAGAAAAAAAATTGGAAAAGGTGGAGGAAGAGGGAGAAATGGAGAACGAAAGAAAAAATGAAGAATGAAAGAAAAAATGAAGAAAAAACGAAGAAGAAAGAAAAAATGACGGAAGAAAGAAAGAAGGTGGAGGAAGAAGGGGATAGGATGGACGAAATAAGGAGAAAGAAGGGGATAAGATGGACGACATTTGGTTTGGGGGAGGAGTGATGAAGTGGGTTATTGGGATGGAGTTAAGGGTAAATAAGACATTTTACAAATAAAAACTTACCTAAAATAGAAATGGGAAGTTTATTTGTGGACGGACGAAAAAGGAAAGTGAAAAGTTTTTTTATGGACGGAGGGAGTATATTTTTTTTATTATTATTCATTCAAGCACCAGACTTTGATGTATACTTTAAATTATGAAAACATATTATAATAAATTTATGGAAAATTTTTCTAAAATAATTCCAACTTTCACTCGTCTTCTAAAATTAATCTCAACTTTATCTTTGTTGTATAGTAAGCCGAACCTCTTCGCTTTTTACCTGTTTTGGGCTTGCGTCTACTTGCTAACTTTAAGTTAACGGGACTTTGATATGGCTTTACACGTGGATAATAACTTTACCATGTAATTATCCTTAACCCATGCTCCAAATTTGAAACAGAAGATAATAAATTACCGGTGAAGAGCCCTAGCTCCAAGATGTAGAAGACACAAGGGTTTCTGTAGTTGTGCACATGCGAATATTTTTTTCTATTGAAGGTAAGCCTTAATTTGTGCTTTTAACCTTATACATAATTTAGATTGGTTTTTTTTTGTTTTCAGATTTGCATCTAGGCATCGGAAGGTTTCACTCTTTTTGAGTTCTGAGATGAAGCTCGTATGCAATTATGGTGGGAATTTGAAGCGTGGACGCACTTTAGAGTATGTCGGAGGTAACACATGTGGTCTAAACGATGTAGATCCGGATAAAATTGGTTATTTTGATCTTCTTGTGATTGGGCAAAAGATTGTGGAGATTATCCTCCTATTTCTGAGTTGTATTATGCGAAATCTAGATGTGATTTGGGTAAAGGGTTGAGTAGAATATATGGTGACAAAGAGACAGTTGAAGACTAAAACTATATCTAGACTAAAACTATACAAACCATTTTTTTGTATGTTGTGCACCAGACTGAATTTTTATCTACTTGTGCCTCAAACCGTAATAGAAGAGGTACTAGTCTTCTTGTTGAGAAAATTCAACAGAACAACAGCCCTAAGAAAGTAAGAAGACTAAAACTATATCTACATTCTGCCCATCACATTTTATTGAAGAAGAAATGGTTCAGTCTACAGAAGTTAACATTTCAGAGGAAGATTCACACGAGGAGGAAGAGGAAGAAGGGGATGACATTGAAGAGTATACAAGGATTATTAAAGGGAATGCAATTGAGACGTGTTGAGGACGAGATATTGGGGTCTTCTTCAAAGAGTAATATGAGAGATTTAGCAGAGGAGATGCCTGCTGATGAGGTACTATTAATTAGGGTCTGACAGTGACACTAGGAATGCTAGAAGAAAGTTCAATGATTGGCATGACAAAGAAAATGCAAAAGTGGATGGAATTGTTAAGCTCATAATACAAACTCCAAATCCAACCTTAGGAGGAGGTAGTAAGAACCTTGGGATGTTGTATCAGAGTATGAAGATTCTGATGAGTATGCTAACACCCCCGGAGAGAGTGAGGAAGATGTCATTCGTGAAAAAAAAAGGAAAAAGTCAGCACCCATTATTGATGCACTTACTGATTTTTCAAACTTAGTTTGGCAACCAGGAATGAGGTTTCCTAATAGGGAATTGATTAGGGATGCAGTGTGAAGGTATGGAATATTTCAAGGGAGAAACCTTGTGTTTAGTGTTAGCAACAGAAATAGAAATGAAAGGTTGGGTGCAAGATGTATTCAAGGATGTCCATTTGAAATAGTAGGTTCTTGGCATTCCTGAAAAGGTGTGTTTGTGGTGAAAAGAGTGAAAATCAGACATGCTTGTTATAGAGACATGAAAGGTAATAGCCAACTTGGTTCTAAATGGATAACAAAAGAATTCTTGGATGTTTTCAAGGCCAAACCCCATTGGCCTGCAAAAGAGATTCAGGATGCTGTAAAAGAGAAGTTTAAGTACTTCATCACAAGGTGTGTGGCATACAGAGCTAAATGGTGGGCGCATAAAATGCTTCATGGGTCAATGAAGGAGCACTATAGGAAGTTACCTATATATATGGCAGCATTACATTTGTCTTCTCCTAACACCATCCTTAAGCTTGCAGTCAGAAACATATGGAAAGGCCAAGGCATACATAGAGTTCAAGTTGGTGCTCCTAAATTTAGAAGGCTGTTTGTCTGTTTTGAGGCTTTGAAAAAAGGTTTCTTGGCAGGTTATAGAAAAGTCATATGTCTGGATGGTTGTTTTTTAAAGACTTTTCTAGGAGGAATGCTTCAATCAGCTGTTGGTGGAGATGCTAACGATCAGATGTTTCCCATTGCTTGGGCTGTTGTTGAGGGGGAAAACAATGAGTCTTGGAGCTGGTTTATGAAAGAGCTTAAAAGTAGTTTGGATGATGAGTGGACATTTATGTCTGACCAACAAAAGGTATATTACAAGTCTTTAGTTTCTTCATAACTGACATTTTATTTGTGAAAGTATATTTATTTTGTTTTTTTCTTTAATTTTGCATTAGGGTTTGTTGAAAGCCGTTACTGAGGTTTTCCCCACTGCTGAACCAGCTAAAGTTCCCATGAAGAGACCAAGAGGAAGACCAAGAAAAGGTGTACAACAAGTTGGTGAAGTCTTGGACAGTTCACAAGCAGGGGTGCACCATAGAACTGCTGAACCATCAGTTAGGGGTAGGGGAAAATGTACATTAGTAAGTTCATTTCCTTCCCATAATATTCTTTGTTAAAAAAGTATTTGATGATTTTATGGAATATGCAGCTTTAAATACTGTGTTTTTTACTATTCATGACATGTTCATAGATGCCTGTTGGATATCGTGTTTACTACAATGAAGGCGATGGAGGCATGTACATCAACACACCTGGACAAACTCAACCTGTACGAATATCAAACATTATATACCCTCACCCGCTCAAACCTCGCAAGAACCACCATCACTGTCACGACAAACATGCTGTTTCCTGAAGAACTTGAGCATGTTTCTTTCTCTTGTGTTTTTTGTTATGTTTTTCAGTGCTCTGTAATCAAACTTTATTAAGCATATGCACTTAGATTAAGAATGATTTCAGTGCTTTGTAATCCCATCAGTTTTTCAGTAATGTTTTGGATGTCTAGAAGTGACATTTGTGTACTATATGAGTGGTTTAATAACTTTGCACTCCCATTTTAAATCTTCTTCTTGTGCGTTGTGAACATTGGCTTCGGACTAATTTGGGTCTGTTTCCAATTAGGGTTATGTGTCTAATTTATATGCGGAACTTTATCAAGAATTCGGAAGAATTCGGAGTATATAATCACATGGCAGCTTAGTTATCCGCCGTGTAAAGCCAGGTCAAACTCCCGTTAACACGAAATTAGCGTTCAGACGGAGGCCCGAAACAGGTAAAAAGTGAAGAAGTTCATCTTATTTATTATACATCAAAGAGAAAGTTGGGATTAATTTTGGAAGACGGGTGAAAGTTAAGATTATTTTAGAAACTTTTTTCTAAATTTGTTCAAGAATTTATAAATTTTTGTTCTCCCTTTGTCCTGTATTAAATCGCTCATTTTGACTTTTAGCTCATAAATAAGGATATTTAAAAGGTGACATTGATTTTTCCAAAATGCCCTCACAAGTTCGAATTTTTAGCTATCGCCCTCGGAAACAATCACATATTTGTGGAATCAAACACCACACACATCCAAATTACATCGAAACATCAACCATTACATTACATGACACTAAATTATATCCAAACTCCAAATTACATCAACATTGGTAGTAGGGTGTAAACGAACTGAATCGAAGCGAATATCGAGATATTTAAATTTGTATTTGTTTAATTTTTTTGAATACGAATCCGAATATGAGATGAATTAAAAATAAGATTTGAATTTGTATTTGATTAATATTCAAATACTTAACGAATCCTAAACGAATATTTTAATAATTATACTCCATAATTTATGTGATGGACCAACATAGATTTTGTTAAATTTAACGTACGATACTTCTTATACTATATCTAAAAACATTAATACATTTTCATCTTACACCCATTATATTTTATAAAATATAACTAAAAATCATATGTTTTAGATTTTCGTGATACGTTAATTTGTTGAATTCTAGCTTAGTAATTTAAATACGTAGTACATTTTATACTATATTAGTTTACTTGACTATTGATGTTGAAACATGGTTTGTGGGTATATAAATATATTCGAATATCACCCGAATCGTATATACTGCTATTTGTATTTGTTTAATATTCGAATCAAAACTAATATTTGAATTTGTATTTGAATAATGCAAATTCGAATAATTATATTCGAATACAAATCACGAACCAAATTAAAAGTATTTGATTTGTTTACCTTCCTAATTGGCAGTAGAAGTGTAACATTCAAGACTTGAAATTTCATCTTACACTCTATAGAGGGTGTTTGGGATTGCATTTGAAAATAACTTATAGCTTTTACTTTATTAAAACACAATTTTAAATGTTTGCTAATCTGCGTTAGCTTATAAATTATGACTTTAGAAGTTAAAGAGGATGTTTGGCAGTGTATTGCTTTTAATAATTTAGTTTCTCCTTTCAGTATAAGTGATTTTACTCTGTTTGACATGTCAACTTCTGCTTTTCACAACCACTATTTTGTACATAGAACACCGTTTCGGAGAAGCAGGTATGAGGTATTTTTGCTTTTAGCTTTTGTAGAAATCACTTTATCCATAAGTTAATCACTCCAAACACCCTCAAAATTAAGGTCTAGAAGTGCGTTCTAGCAAAACTACAAATGCATGCTTTCTGCTTCTAAATTATGACTTCTACTTATACATAACTCACCTCACTCCCAAACACCCTCAGATCTGGACCGGAACCAACACAAGGTCGGAAATTTGAGAATCAACTCAGTAGAAGTGCAACATTTCGACATGAACACAAGCTTCAAAAATTTCTTCCTCTAACTTTTCAAGATCTGAAAAAACAAAAAATAAAAAAATTTAAATAAGAAATTTTGGATAAAAAGAGCACCTATATTAAAGAACATGGAGTACCTGAACGTTTACCTGGACGAAAATTGAAATCAAAACAAACCTTAAATAGCGAGAAAATCGTAGAGTTGGAACCAACACAAGATCGAAAAAACGTATTCAAGAGATAGCCTTACTGCAGATGCACCTTAGCCATCTCTATCTTCCAGGAATCGGTCAACAATACTCGAGGAATCAGTCATCGGCGCTGCACCTTAGCCATCTATGGCCGTTGCCGCAAAGGAGAAACTAGAAAGCCCAAGTCTCCGTCATTGCTTTGTTTGTCGTTTGAGTAAATTCCGCCCTCTCTCTTGGCCTCTTGGCGATGAATGAGGAGGGGCCACTAATAACTAATCAGAAAAGATAAAGTAGGTAGACAAGACACTCAGTAAATTAGATTTTGCGTAGTTTAGACATTTTATTTCTGAAAGCTTTGGAACATGCAATTTATTTTGAGACGAACGAAAAGAGAAAACAGATAATATAAATTGGGACGGAGGAAGTATTCAATATACAATAAAATTACAAATTGTAACGATGATCAATAATGAGTTTCGAAACAAGCTCCACAAAATGTATGTATTCAATTTTCTAATACACTGAGAGTATTCACTTACTCCTTCTGTCCCAATTTAAATTGTCTGTTTGTTTTTTTTTTCTAATACATTGAGAGTATTCACTTACTCATACTACTCAAATTTTAAATGACATCTTAATTAAAAGGGCATGCACATGGCAACCTGGACATGACACTTTTTCGTGGATGAAGTTTATTTAATTTTTTGGTCCTGAAGATTTAGGTTTAATAAATATAGCACGTATAGTTTGGCAATGGCCTATTAGCTCAGCTGGTTAGAGCTTCGTGCTAATAACGCGAAGGTCGCAGGTTCGAGACCTGCATGGGCCATCTATTTTATCTTTAGTGTTCTTTTATCTTACTTTTTTGTAGTAATTAATTCCTGATCATCATGAGATGTGATAAACTTGCCCGTCTAGCTCAGTTGGTAGAGCGCAAGGCTCTTAACCTTGTGGTCGTGGGTTCGAGCCCCACGGTGGGCGCATGTTTTTGCCAAATTTTTTTCAATTTTGGTCCCCCAAAACGTGTTAACTACACCTAGTATCACACACTCACATTTACCTTATTAAGTTACTAGTATCACACCCGTGCGCTGCACGGGTCATACTTACGTTACTAAAATAAGATCATTTTTAATGATAAATTATGATATGTAATAGAATATAGAGATTTTATTATTTTAAGGTACAAAAGTTTTTTGCTTAGAAATTTCAAACGACTTTTTGTAAACTGCATTATTCGTACAATTTATGAGAACATTGTGTTCGTTGCATATCGAAATCTTTAAGCCACTATAATTTGTTACTCTATTATGATTATTATTATTACGTTTATTATTATTACTCTATAACTTATCTTTATTATTATACGGTACCATAAAATTACCATATTCTTTTTATTCTTTCACATGCTACCTTTCTTATTATGCATGGTACCAAAATCTATAACGTATGAAATTGCCTTATTAATAATTAATAAGGGGAAGATTCAAGTGACATTGAACCTTGATGTCATGGGATGACCCGGGAGCGCTCCGGTGCCCCGTTCGTAAAATTGACGGTTCCTACCCCCCATCCCCTAGTAAACCCCCCCACCCGGCCCCGTCCCGAACACGTCAAAACCGTCAATTTTAATAATTAATAATTAATAACTAATAATTAAGGTTTCACATGTTACCTTTTTTATTACACAATACCGAAAAATATAAGGTATGAAATTACCTTATTAATAATTGATAATTATTTTTATAATTTATAATTTTGGTAAAAAAATATAAGGTGTGTGAATATATTTTTTTTAAAATCAAGTCAACACTTTGGTTTATTTTATACATGGTAATAGCACAAAACTAACATACCTTGATTATTACTCCGTATTACATTTATTATTATGATGATTATTAGTATACGGTACCATATTATTTTCATATTATTATTATTATTCTAAATGTTACCTTTTTTATTATATGTACAAAAAATATAAGGTATGAAATTACCTTATTAATAATTAATAATTAATAATTAATATTATAATTTATAATTTTGATAAAATATATAAGGTATGAGAATGCATTTTTTAAACCAAGTCAACACTTTCATTTATTTTATACACGGTAATAGTACAAAACTAACTTAGCTTTATTACTATTATAACGTTTATTATTATTATTATAATTATTATTATTCGGTACCATATTATTACCATTTTATTACTCTTTCATATGTTACTTTTTTTATTATACTCGATACAAAAAATTGTAAGGTATGAAATTAACTTATTAATAATTAAAGTTTCACATTTACCATTTTTATTACAATGTACCAAATTTATGAGGTATGAAATTACTTCATTAATAATTCAAAATTTAAAATTAAGTTCCACATGTTACATTTTTTATTATACACGGTACCAATAATAATTATTACGTTTATTGTTACTATTATTATACGGTATCATATTATTACCATATTCATATTAAAGGTTCACATGTTACCTTTTCTATTATTATTATTATTACATGGTACCATAATAATTAATAATTTAATAATTAATAATAACTATGAAATAAAAGTGAGAGAGCAAATAATTATGAAATTACCTTGTACACGGCAGTTACCATTTCAAGTTTTAGCACTTATCTTTTGTGACTAAAATGTTTAGGTGGGAAAATAGAATGGAGAATTCCCCTCTTTTTAAATATAGTATATATATAGATATAGATGAATGTCGTCTATCAAAGGTAGTAACTGGATGTCTTTAAAAGCCATGAATTTTTATCGGAAATTCGAAAATTGTTCCAAAGATAATTTACGAAGTTTCGTCTTTCCAAAAAAGACTATCATAACAGGGTGGGTGGTCGTCTTTGTGTTTTGTAGGTTGCGTTGGATTTTAAACTTATATAAACCATAAACATTGTTTTCTTCGAGGTCATTCTCGAAAGTCTCGATATTTGAATCTCCTATATATCAACGCATGAATCCGATTTCCTTGTAAATGCATCTAAGTAGTTAATGTAATCAATAATTCTCATTGTATCGTATACTGAAACTGAGTTGAGGGAAAATTGTATCA